GGTTCTTTATAAAGACAAAAAAATGTTTCCTTTAAGAAACAACTATCTTCATCACAACTATATTTGCTACCTTGTCTTTCCATTTGTTCATTGAGATATCTAATACTTAACATTTTCTAATCTGATTCTAAAAAAAAAACACATTTGCTAATCTGAACTGCGAAATTAAAACCCAAAAAATGGTGGAAAATATTCCATATTAGCAGAAAATGAGAAAAGATCTTTATATGATCGCTTTGATGAGTCATGTCTACAAGGAGAAAATGGAGGATCAGCCAGTGCAACAGGGATATGTGTATTTCTTCTGCTTTCGACAATGTCCAAAATGAACTTGAGACCTCGTTCATATGATAATACAGTTCCATGGAATTAACATCTGTTCCTTTCTTCTCTTTTCATAACTTAATGCTTATGATACCTTTTCAATTAAGCAGGTTGATCTTTTTGAATAATTTGGTCCTTCGAATGGACTATTTGGAGATGAGTAACGAAGGGGACATCAATTTCAAATTGAGAAACAATAAAAATCATGGTTTTGATTTTTGGTAACTATTTTCTCAGGAAAAGAATCCGTTTATAAATTTTTTTTACAAATGACACTAAGTATTGCTGGTCATACACTCTTTATTGAAGTATGACCGTGTAATTTGCAAGAGACAAAAAATTTGTAAATATAACATTTCTCGTCTTCTCAATTTGATTTTGTTTTCCTGTTTAGGGAAAGGAAGTAGACATCAGTTTACTCAAACGCTTATCCATCACAAATTTCTTTGAGAATTAACTGAATGATTACAGGATACTCTACTCTGCCTTGATGAGTTTTGAAGATTTTATTTTTGTTTAGCATTCTCGTTATCTATTACAGATATTAATATAAAAATTTTAATGTCATCATCACTTACCAACTTAAATTATGAAGTTGAATTGGTTGCAATATATAGTATTAAACTTCAGCCCTTGTTTTCTAATAAAATTAAAAAATGATTTAAAATCAGCATTAAATAAAAGAAAAAAATGGGCCTGTATCCACCCTTAATCTGATCAATCGAGTAAAGATTACCAATGAAATGGCAATCACAACAGATAGACTAATTACATTTGTATATTGCGAGCTCAGTTGGAGGTATCTTTTGTTTCCTTCAGCATATTGAGCTACATATCAATTAAGGTAAAAAAACAAGACTGCATCTTGAATCAGATCAAAATAAATTCTCTTTGCAGGCTTTGGTAGAAAAAAAAAATTTATTTATCCGAAAAATAATTATTATTGAAATGTAGCGAAGAATATATTTTTACTGGAATGTTAGTAAAAGGTGTTTGGTATGACCAAATTTTTCCATGAATTTTATGATTAAATTTACTAGTGTGTGTTTGGTTGATTGTTAAATATTAGTGGGAAAGTGAGGTTATTTTACGAAAATAACCCCACATCACTTCACCCAACTCCATATCTTCACACATTGTACAATGTTATTTTGGTCAACTCATTCATTTTTGCTTTTCACTTTCCCAGGCTAAAAAGTATTCCATATATTCCATATATTTTGACTACCAAAAATATCCACTACTACCTTACTACCTATCAAATCACCATTGGATTAAAGAGAGAGAATGTTAAAAAGTTTTTGAAGAGAGAGAAAATGTTAATCCAATGGTGATTAGATAGGTAGTAAGGTGGTAGTCAAAATATCCTCCCTTTATATTCAATGGCTAAAAGATTGTGATTGCCGTACCTAACTTTGCAAACAAAACAAAAAAAGGGGAAACATTTCTATGTTGGAAACTTGCCTCTTTTTTCATACCAAACATGATTTATAACTTTTCCCACATTTACTTTTCCGATAACTAAACAAAAACCGCGTAACAAACACCCCTCTTAAGTATGATATGATTACTTCGGGCTGAAATTTTAAATTCTCAGTTATCCAAAAAAAAAAAAATTAAATTCTCTTCATGTTCCTTCCCCCTCTAATTATCTTATAGCAGATTTATACATCTAAAACATATATATGTTGACTTAGTCTCACAAACATTCGTTGATTTTGTCTAACTTAGGAGTTAGGACTAACTCTTGCCTTACGCGTATCTATCTTATTTATTAATTTTTGAAAATGACAAATTTCTTACACGTACGTATGTTTTGGCTAATTGATCATTAAAGGGTGTCTCAATGGTATTTTTTTTCGTTTGGTATGTACTAATTTTTTTTTTCGATGGGAGGTATTTAGTTCTATGGATTAGCCGTGTAAAATTAATATATTCTATATTTTTTTAATAAATTCGACAAACCTCCCACAACGGTAGAAAAATTCAGAGCTCTCAGTTCACGCGCTCCTTCTTTCAAGAAATTGACACTTGTAATTTTTATTTTTATTTTTTTTTTCTTTGTGTATTGCTCCAAGTCATTGTTTCATCTTTATTGGCTCAGTGTTAGAGAATAATATAAATTATTAAAAAAATCTTCACCTAACCCTTTGAAATTTTGAGTTGAAGTGATTCTTTACACGGCTCACTGATTGATTCATATGCCGGAATCGCTAAAATTTTTTTCCCCATAAAGAATAAATTAATATTATTTTAAAAGTTAAAATCTTCAAATAACTGAGATTGCACCATATGACACAGTTTATGAATTCCCCAAGAGATGGTTCGCGGAATTTAAAATGTAAAATATAAAAAAATAAAATAATAACTAATGAATTTCCAAAAGAGATTCGCAGAACTTATTAAAAAATTAGAAAATAATATAAAAATAATTCCAAGAGACTAGTCCGTATCACTGGAAATAATTTTATAACATACCAAGCACATAAAATACAGATAATAACGCCCCAAATAAATGATGAAATAGTCCATATGTTTCCTTCTCTCTATTTTCATTGCAGAGCTACGCATCTCAAACACATGTTGACTTAGTCTATCAAACATTCGTTGATTTTATCCAACTCGTATAAATCCATGCTTACACGTATCTATCCCATTTATTCATTCTCCAACGCTCAAATCTGATGAACAGCTACAGTACATGCATTGACCGACTTACTCGTCGACTCAAAAAAATAAATATACAGTGTTCTTCTAGATGCTAATGCATTCATTTCCTTGGACGGTACCACACTAGAGTTTATCTCCTTGTGTATTCTAGTAAACTCAGCAAATTTGTACACTATCTTCTTTGCCACGTTTGATATGATAACTATAGCATAATTGATGTTTTTCCAAATCATTTAAAGGCACTCACTATCACTAAGCATATATGATTGATAATTTGATAATAATGTGAAATGGTGATAGCAACGTCATTGGCTTGAAACACCGGGCCATCCACAGAGTTGGAAATAGTTTAAAATAAACATCAACATCAACATTTTTTGTTATCCTATCAGAATCATGTAATAATGTTACCTTATCATCATTTCAGTGGTTGACCTACTAACCGGCGCTTTATTTCTACTTTCTATTTTTGTACGGTTACGGCTCATGTCTCTCCCAATAAGATTATTTTATAACAAGATGTTGCTATTTAACTTTTAGCGACGTTTGATGAAGGAAGTATTTCTTTTTTTTACCCGAAAATAAAAGGTTTTTAAAAATAAGGTTGGAAATTTTTTTGTCTGGGATAAATTACGAAAAAATATTTGATATGCCAAAAAATGTTCATGAGTGTTAGATTAATTTTACTTATGCTATATTTGATTGATTGTAAAATATTGATAGGAATCTAAACCAAAATGATAAAATTACTCATCATTTTGAATATTGAATCTTTTATCAGTTATCGAACTTTCATTTTACTTTGGCATTGTGGAAAAAAATGACACCATAAGTGGGATGATATTATATTTTGAGAATGTGTAATTAAAAATAAAATGATAGAAAAAAATATCTTGGAATTAAAAGAGTAAATTTCATATATTTTGTATCTATAACATGAGATAACAAATCTCATGTTCCGCTCATTTTTTGTAGTGGTTTGTAATATATTGTATATTTTTCTTAGGGTAATAGTTTTCTTATGTTGTAGAAGATATGTATTATCTCCTACACACTCATTGGTGCAAGTGGGGTCCATTTTTAGGGGAAGAGAGAGAAAAAGTAAAGTGGGACCCATTTTGAGTTTGTGTGTGTAGGAGATAGATTATATTTTATGCAACATAAGAGTAATAAATCCCTTTTTCTTATGATGAATGATTTGTCCTTTGAAATATCTTTTTATTTTCATAATTAATTCAATTCGAGCATGGCCATCCTATTATAAGAGGTGGTTTTTCTAAAATTATTTTCTCTATTCCCGGGTTCTAAAAAATATTTTCTTTCACTTTATTTTTTTACCAAAAAAATAATATAATCATAATTAATTACATTAATTTTTAGTAAGTACATAACTTAGTTGATAAAAACGTGGCTTCTATTTTTTTTTATGGGAAATAATACTCTTATGCTACATAAGAGTACATCATTTTCCTACACTAATTCGTTTTCCGTGCTAATTAATTTTTCTTTTCTTTTTTAATATAAAATATGGGACCCACATTTAATTTCTCTCTACTTTTTTTATCTCCTACAATCCTACAACATAAGAAAACTTAAACCCTTTTTTTATTTATTAAGAACGTGACTTCTACTTTATTGGGAACAAAAAAGCTAAATGAGATAAACTCAAGTGCACCACTGTGAATGCAAAATTCTGTACATGGCATTGCTATCTGAACAATAGTTTAAGCCCTTGTGATTTCTTCACTACCTTTCTAACTGCTTATTAAAGTTCAACTCAAGCCTATTATGAGACCTTTTATATTATGCATGTTCTTAGTCTATAAAGCCGTAAATAATTGGTTCCATTAAGTTTAAGAAAAGTCAAATCCATTCAAAGTATGTCCTGATGCTGTGAGTACTATAGAAAATATTGTTGAGTTAGCCATCATTCTAGTAGCTATAATCTATTTATTTACATTTTAAAAACATTACTACACAAATAACTGGCCAAAAAGTAGAGTTTTGATACGTTTATTTGGTGGTGGTGGTATGATTCATGGAGTTGTATAAATTCTAAACAAAAGAGCTCTTGTACTGATCTAGGTGACAGAAATAGATACCAAAAGTAAGTATGCTACACATAGTTTATCAGATACGGTTACAAAAGAATCCAATGAATGAAAAAATGAACTGAATTTCTGTACATCTACAGCTTACTCCTACCGACAGATCTCAACAACATTCTACAAATTCATAATCTGCTGTTGTACTTTTTGGCTGCACCAACTCTAGCAAATCAGAACACAGGAACAAAAGCAAGGGACAAATTGCAAACATCATGAACAGAAGTTTCCCAGTTCATGACTTCGATTTTCAGTGAATCTCAATTTCTCTATCCTAATATCTTTTGAGTGCTTCAGTTCTACCACTTCGTAGATTCCAAAAGCAAGAGAATGTCTAAAATATACAACCTAATTATATCTCCATCCCTTTAGGCTGCAAGTTGAGTTTGTCTATTAACCAATTCATCTAAAGCTTCCTTCATCCAAGCATAGGGGCATATTTCTTTTGCTTCAGCCACAGTCAACTGCATGACGCAAATCAATGAAACTTAAGTACACCAACAAAATAAATGTTACCCAATTAAGATATTGCAATTGGGAAAATGAATTTTCAAGTGATTAGGTCATATACACTTACCCATCTTCGCTTTCTGGTGTTCATCTCTGGCCAATTATCCAACTCCTTACTAACAAGCAAAGGGAACATATATGCCTCATGAATTGTGGGTTGGCGTTTGCTCTTATAATACCATTTATTACCCAATTTACTCTGCAAGAAAACAACCAAGAAACAGAAAGTAAGAATCAAAGGCCTAATTATTTGGAAAGAAACTCAAATCTAGAAAGTGCTTGCAGATACTAACTTCAACACTGCCAACAACCCCAGCTTCCTCTATAGTCTCTCTTAAAGCAGCCTGCTCCATGGATTCATCAGTTTCCCAACCTCCCTGAGGCCAAACAACACACACATGTCAGGAACAAAACAAAAAAAGGTTGAAAATGACCCAAAAGTCATATTAAGTGCTTTAACAATCAGCAGCAAGACAATAAAAGTTGTGGAGGAGTAAACAATACCTTTGGGAACTGCATTCCATGACCCTTCTGAGCACTAATCACAAGAACCTCTAATTCCTTTTCCTGCGTTCCATTGCTCTTGTATCTGTAAGGTATGCATCTGTTCATTTCCAAAATCACACAAAACATGTCAGATTAACAACTAAATCTGCATACAAAAATGACAAATCTCAATTCAAAACCACAAAAAAAAAAAAAAAATTGTAAATTTTTTTAAGGAAAAAAAAAAAACAATTTGAGAAAAACCCTTTCAATAAAAACCCAATTTGAGAGGAGAAAAAACTTAATCAAGTCAAAGGAAACACTTTTAACCCATTTGAGAAAAACCCAATTGAGGAAACCTCAGTTCCAGAGATTAAAAATCTGAACTTTACCCTTAAATAAGAAACCCCAGAACAAGAAACACATGCAAAAACAAAAGAAAAATAGGGAGAAACAAAAACACACCCCACAACTTGGCGACACCCTTTGTCATCATAGCGTTGCAAATGCCTGCCGGTGCGAGGGGACACTAGGCACATCATGTTCTCCAATTGAATGGGAAACAAATCCTTAGAAACTTTCTTGTAGAAAAGAAAAGGGTATATGAATTTGCAAGCCAAATTCCTAGAAAGCAAGAGACCCATCACGCACTTCTTGTTGTTCTTGCAGAGATATTAAAGGAAGGAGAGAAGAAAATCAGAAGAAAACAACAGACATAAATGATAAGAAGGGACAGCATTTTTATATATATATAGAAAGAGAGAGAGAGAAAAAGATTTATATTTGTGGATGGAAAATGTGTCTGCGTGTGGAGATAACTACATAGCGTTAAAAAACAGAACGCATGGACCGGTTCGTTTACTTACGCGCATTGACGAAAGGAAAAACGTTTTGGTTTTTTTTTTTTTTTTTCTATGTGGAAAATTTGAAAACTTTTTGAAATCTCCTCTGTTTCACCTTCCTGTATTTATCGGTTATTACAAATAAATGAGAGAAATTATATTTAGAATCTCTTTTCCTTTAGATTTTTATCGGCATTTTTATAGATAAAAATCAAATTAATAAATAAATGTTATTTTATAATTATTAATTTGATTTTGATTTAATAACCATAAAAATAATTATGAGATATTATAAGGGTAACGAGATTCCTCATTACAAATATACTTTTGTGTAAAATAATTCATGAATAAAAAAGTAAAAAAAAATAATTTTATCAGTTATTTGTTTACTTGTTTATTTTTAGGGAAAAACATCTATCCTTTTACAGGATATAAGCTTATATCATTTTATATTTTAATTTTTGATTTTCGTCTTTCAACGGTTATAATCTATTGGGTCAAACTTAATGGGACAAATTTATTATTAATTAATTAATAATTTTGATCTAATAAATTATAATCATTGATGGACGGAAATCAACGGTTATGATATAAAATGATATAAGCTTATATCCTTTAAAATGACAGATGTTACTCTCTTATTTTCAATCATAATGAGCTATTAATTACATTTTATTAGTTATTTATTTTTAAAAAAATTCTCCTAACATAATAAATTATTAATCTTTCATAATAATTCGTGTAAAATTCGTGTAATCTTTCATATAAAATACAGAAAATATTTTTACAGTTACTGCAGATAAGTTATATGCATTTACTCCCAAAATGACGTCATTTTGGGATTGAAATATTTAAAAATTATAATTATAAAGACTAGAATAACTCTGAAATAAATTAAAATTACAAAAATACCATGATTTTCATCCAAAAATGACGTCGTTTTAAATTTACTGGGTAACTACAAAAAAAACGAATCATATAAAATAACAATTCTTCAATAATCAATAAACATCATCAACGCCCTTAATTTATATCAATAAATTTACGAAGATTTAACGGTAGTATCAATAAAAACGAAGTATAACTTAGATAAACTCTAATCATGGTTTAAATTATAAAACTATTATTTTAAAAAGAATTTTATTTAATCACCATCTTTAATCTAAAATTGCGTCAGTAATTAATTAAGAAGGAAAAGAAAAAGTCACAAATTGAGGGCAATAGTGACAAAAAAGGATTTGCCCTTTTGTAATAAAAAAAAAATTAAGAGGAGAGTGGTGTTAGTAATGAGAGTAGCAAAGAAGAGCGTGTGGAGATCACAAATCACGAGTTGGGGGGGGGGGGGGGGGGGGGGGGGGGGGGGGGGGGGTTAGGCGTTGGTGTTGTGTTAAAAACAAGACTAAGACGCGGCTTGAGGTTCGGTCGTTTTCAAGCATTGTTAAAGGCAACTCGTAGTTGAAAAGACTCCAATCACACGGTTATAGGTGGGGGAAATCAACTTGACCCACTGTTCATTTGTTTGTTTGTTTCTTCTTCTTTTTTAATAAACTATAATTATTTTTAATGGGAGATAATCTTATTCAAGTCGAAAATATCTATATCACGGTGAAACTAGTTTTATATTCATAAAAATTTAAACTCAAGATCTTACTTAACGAAATCAAATATGTATCATTTGAATCTTTATTTGTTCTGTTGATTTGTTTCTTTCATGTTCTTCCAAAAATCTAAAACTCAACTCTACAAATCATATGGGGGTTTCTATGGATATAAAATATGCCAGCTTTTATTATACAAAAAAATAAAATTTGAATTTCATCCTTGGCCCATGGTTCCATTGATTGCAACTGGGAGGGTTGTGTTTTCCTGGTTGTTTCTTGAACGAAACAATTAACAAAACTAGCAGAAATTACCGCACACAAGTTGGTTTAGCATACATGGGTTAACGTATTTTACAGCATTGAGTCATGTAATAATTTTTTTCGCCGTTAGTTGTTTGATGAGCGAAGTACATGATTAAAAATTTGTGATACTCATGCATAAGATACTATAAAATTTATAATACCCTTTTTTTTCATTGACTTACTGCAATACAATTTTCCTTTTGTAATCAATCAATTCAAACCATAGATATTTTTTTATTTTTTTCAATTCAGGAGAGACGGTTGAGCATACTAAAGCGTCTTATTAAAGAGTGAAGAATGCACATATTTGTCTACTGTACTAATAAATTTAATAATATTTAATTATTTATTAATAGAATAAGGATGGTGATAATCAAATTTATGACCACTTAGTCATACAGTTTCGAATATCATGTAATGCAACCAATTCAACACAAAAACTAAAGTTGTTATGTTAATGTTACATTAGAGGTTTTATATTATATTTCTATAACATCATTTTTTACAATCAAATTCGTTATCACATTTGTTGCTCTAGTTAATTGTCCATTCTTAATGACTATGATTTCTATGTCGCGCATGACTACGAGAGAGCATATCAATTGAAGTATATTCTTCTTTTTGATTAATCAAAACCATTTTCCAAAGTGTACAAAACTTCTTCCAAAGCATACGTTTTTCTCGATAGATGATGATATCTATTGATTAGTCCAATAAAGATTAGGTTAGATCACACACAATTGAACCTATTCCAATAGTTTTATGGGTCTTTGCTAGAATAGGTGCTATAAGATGGTGACTCCACAGGATATTTTGGGATTTCGTGGGATGCTCTGGGAGATGGAGGATTTGAGGCTAGATGTCTTGATTGGTTGGGGCAAATGTGTGGGGTGTACTTGTAAGGAACTTCATCGCACAAGTTAGTATGTGAGCTATGAGCTTTAGTTAAGATGGAATAAATGATCATATATACATGGCCTTCAAGCCTTTATTATATAGTTGTTGATTGTCTTGCTTATGTCGCCTTAGTATTGCAGCATTTATCCTAATTGGTGCACAGAAGTGGTCCTTGCGGGTTATCCCATGTACGAGATGTCTATTTGTGGGCTACATCTTATAGGTGTAGCTGGAACCAAGTGTCTGAACCTTAGCCATTGGCTATTAGGATGCCTATAAAGTCCTAGCTACTGATATTGAGTGGCTGTAGAGAACTGAGTTGTTGATGTTGTGTGTCAATGCACCTGTGTGATGATATGTATGCAGGATGGCCACATTTCCTTAGCCTTGAAGTTTTAGTTATTGGGTCGTTTATGCCATTCATAGACTAGGTCTTATATCCCTCGTGGGATTGGTCCAAATCAGTTTCCCCCAACCTATTGCTCATGTCATTAGCATAGATAGGGAGAAGTATCAATAAGTGGGATCATACCTATGCGGGATGTAACGCCTCGTTCTATAACCGGTTTGTTAACATTACTTATAATATTACTCGTGATAAAATATAAGATATGATTAATATTTACGAATAAATTTGTTTCCTTTTTCCTTCAAAAGAAGTCGCAACTTGTGTTTAATAACTCCATTCACTGATGTCTCATATCCTATGTAAAAACATGTTACAAATGCTTAATGTCATGTATTAAATAACAATCAAAAGCATTAAGGTGAAAAGTTTCACTTTCAAAATCCTAACGTTGCTTGCTGATGAACTCGCTTAAGCGAGTAGTATCAGTGAGCTTCCCCCTTCCTTGCTAAAGCGATTAAGGGAGTGAGCGAATTTAATTCCAGACCGACAACATTTCCATCAACAGGGGTTGCTTACTGAGCAGCTTGCTTAAGCGAGCTAGCCAATGAGCATACCCTGTTTTTGGAAATGGTTCCCTATGCTCTCATACTCTATCTTGGGACTTTGGATATCTTTTTCTCCAATTTTAAGGTACCTAATACACCATATCACAATCCTCATATTTCCATTAATCATAGGTATATCCATTCCTCAAAATGATATAAGTACTTTGCATTTCTTAAGCTATAAACCACAAAACTTATTTGATATAAAACTCAACATACATTCATGAATTCCCACATTCCATGCCTCGTATACAATTGTCTATGTTATACAAGTCCTCTACATTGTTTTCAACAAAAGATACATGAAAGCTTTACAAAATAATGAATGGTATTATAATAGGTTCTCAAAGTACATCATTCTTTTTACATTAATACACAACCCATCAGTTTAATATCTCCAATGCATAACATCCACCTTGACATAATTACATACAATATCAAAACATGGAATGTCATAACTCCAAAATACGGTGCTAGAATGCTACTATGTCAAGGGGTACAATATCAACATATGTATGACAATAATCACTGTTCGAGCCTCCTACCCTGGGATCCATCACCCATGCCACCTGTGGTACCTGAAAATAATCCCTACACGAGATGAGGTACAATCTTAGTAAAACTGAGGGATTTTGGAGACTTCTCCAACCCTGAGCTCACTTCCATGCATGACATACAGGCATTAAAATAGCATATAGCAAACAAGCTCGAAGCAATCGACATACAACCACTCCAGGTATCTCAACACCAACCAAACATGCCTCTGGACCACCAGCCATCCTCGAGATGTTGGTATGAATTACAAACGACTCACCCCTCTGGACCAAAAGCCATCCCCAAGATACTCACATCATTCACATGCAAATCAACCCTCTGGACCATTAGCCATCCACGAGAGGCCCGTGTGAATGAAATTCTACTTACAAGAGAACCAATTCAATCATGCAACTATACATGACAATTTCACAAGACAAGTTCAAGCAAATAAACCCAATTATAACACCAATATATATACATGTTATACAAACCACAACTACCCATGGGTGTGGTGGAACAACATGGGGCAAAGTCCCCAAAATCCAAGAGTTTACCTGACACGGTGTAAATCTCTTGTTTCCTCAAGGCTCTAAAACAGTCTCAATCCCATAATCAACAACAAAACCTATACGAAGATAATTAAAACAATTATCAACTAAATTAAGGCACACAAAACAATCCAAGGTTCCAACATAATCAAACTATACTTCATCATTTCCAAAGATCAAGTTTTTGACATCTTACCTACACTCGTTGAAATCTTAAGAACCAAACTCTAGGATGTGCTCACTTTAAAATCATCTCAACCACAAAATAACCTATTTGAAGTAATCAATCTCATGGTTAACATAACTAATTTACATATTTAATCAACTCAAAACCATTGATGAGTCTCCAATTTACTATGTATTAAGGATCAATATGAGCATGAAATTGATTTAAAAGTAATTAAAAGTTATGAGAATTATAATTAAATTGTTATTTTATTTTCAATAATATTCTCATAAGAATTCTTATATTTTGTAGTAAATTTCAGCTCAATAAAGATACAAATTGGAGAGATCAAGTAGAGTTGCTTTGGATTTCTGAATCATTGAAGATCTTATCAAATCTTCGTTTGAATATTTTTAGGGAAAGCTTTCCATTAAATAAAAAGGGGAAGATTTGAAGGATTGGATCAAAGATATGATTAGAGATTCTAGTGAAGATTCCATTGAAGATATTATGAAAAATTAAAAGATATGGTTTCATCCCTATAAAAAAGCATCTCTTGGAACACAAAGAAAAAGAAATTGGACAGAGGCAAGCAGATTGAGAGGAAGGCGGAGAACACCGAATACCAGAGTTGGAGATTTCAGAGAGGAGCTTAAAGGAGACTGAGCAACCTTTCTTCTTCTTCTTCTTCTTCATGATTTCTTCTTCTTTTTTATTTCTTTATTTTGTTTAAGCAAGTTATGTCTAGCTAATTTTCTTTTGTAGTTAGGATCACGGACCCAATGTGAATCCTTTTATATTTCCTGTATTATTTTTATAAGTTAAATTAGTTTAGTTAGTTTTATTCTGCCTGTGTTAATTTTTTTCATATTCTTATTAGAACTGATCACTCTAATTATAGGACTTTGAGGGTTAGGGCTCACAATAGACATATTGGGATTTTAATTTGGATAAGGGTAGAATAACAATTTGTGCATGACCTAGACATAGGCTTACATAAATTGCAGACTTTTAATTCATTTGCTTAATGCTTAATTCAAGAGAAATTACTAGGACACTAGGATTCTAATTGGGTTAAAGGGTTGAAATCACTAAGACATTAGGGTTCAACTATTTTATATGGTAATAATGAATTGTCTGAGCTAATAACCTAGTTAGTTATAAATACAATTTAGGAATATAAGGGAGGATCGGAGGTGAAGTGCATCCTGGCTACAGTCCTTTTACAAATTTTCATACTTCTCATATTTTCTTGATATTCTTGATACTCTTGCATGTTTTTAAATATTATTGTTTTTAAAATTCTATTTTTAAATTACCACAACCAACCACTTTCACAATCAAAACTTATTTCTTTTCCAATTAAAAAGGAAATAGTTAAAATTAGTCATTGGTGCATTAATCCTCGAGTGAACGATCTTTACTTATCATTTTATTACTTGAAACAAACGGTATACTTGCCGATTTCGCAACAACCATCAATCTCCATGATTTCAAGGCTTACCTTTTCTTGGAAGTTTAACGAACCAAGCTCACAGAGGGTTCCACTTCAACATCCACATCACCAACCTCAACCCTATACAAAACAACACATAACCAAGTGTCAAACACCAAACAAAAGCTATTTTCCGATTTTCCCGAAAAATATCATGAAACCCTAACTAATATTTCACAAAATCCATTAATAATCTTGAAATAGGGTTTCCATTACCTAGTACTACTCTTGGGGAAGTAGAATACCAAGCTCTAAGCTTCAAAACACAACAAAATCACCCTCCAAGCCTTAAGTCCTAGGTGGTGTTCGAAAATGGTTGGAGGAGGAAGATAATGGGCTGGTTTATGGTGAGCTCCAAGGTGACCCAAATAGAGGAGATGGGTTGGAGGAAGGAAAGTCTAGCAATCTCAAGCTCCAATGACCAAGGAACATTAATGAAGGAGTGAAGAGTGTGTATTTTTGGCCAAAAATAAGAGGAAAACGAGAGACAAGTGAGGATGGGTGTAAATGAGAGGAGAGAGATAATGTTGTGTTTTAAAAAATTGAATCGTGTTAGCTCGCTGACCTGCTCGCTGGGCTAGCTCGCTTAAAATGGAAATAAAGTTAGTAGGACATGAAGTTGGATCAAATTGCTATAAGATTGAGAAAATTGTATTAGATTTTACTTTCTTTTATTAATGTTATTGCATTCCTTTATTATATTTTTAATTGACTCTTATAACTTTGAAGGTTTACGAACAATTTATATAGTTTTTTAAAATATTATAAATTCATTTATCCTTTCAAATTTTATAAATTCTAATAACAAATCCTTTAAAATTCAATCTTACGAAATTTTAATTATAATAAAATATTTTAAAAACATTTATAAAGTTCTTACTTCTCTAAATAGTCTTTTAAAATTTATAGAATTTTTGAATCACAAAATAATATTTTAAAATCTTAATTCAATATAGCTCATCATCAACAATAATAAAAAGCAAAGATAATTTTAACAAGCTTGAACAAATATCAACATAGTTGAAGTGCAATGATTAGTTATAGGGTTTAATGTTCCTTATATTATAGGAGTTAATTTATCTTCTACATATGCATAAAAATATGTGGAGCCCATATCGGTCCATGTGAGAAGAATAAAGAGAAAAAAATGTGGATATCACACACTTTTATGTATATGTAGGAGATAATTTTATTCCATATAACATGAGAAACATTAAACCTTAGTTATATCACTAATTTTTTTTTTTTAAAAATCTTTTCTCTCTCTTGAAGTAATTATATTAACTCTTTCATATGTTCCTATTAATATTTATTATACTTCTCATCACATTTGGTATAGTTTTAAAATTTTTATTAAAATAATATAATTAAAATTATAGGTAGGATATTCTTACTATTCATTTTTTTCTACTATCATTTTAATTACCATTAGATTCTACTTTTTAGCCGACAATTTCTGAAAAATTTCTGAAGAGAGAAAATAAAAAATAACTTTTAATGTACTGCCCGAGAATATATAGTTATATTAAAGTGATAATAAATTGGTAATAGAAAAATTTGATAGTAAAAATATCCTTACTCTAAAAACTATTTATTAAAATAATATAATTTAACCAAATTTAATGATACTGGCATAATTTTTTCAGTGCGCTATCGATGAACTGAGTTTTCAATCTTTCTTTTACTCATAATGTGACATGTATATTAAATTTTGTTAAATCACATACTCACCTGATATTAAAATAAATTATTTATTAATAATTTGATATAAATAAGATACATGTCACATTTTGAGTGGAAAATAACTGAAAACTCAGTACGTGAGTAACACGGTAGAAATTTTCATGCTTTTGGTCAAATTATATTACTTTCATAAATAGCTTTTAGATTAAAATATTTTAATAATTTTTTAAAAAAAAATTATATTGATAAATGTGCCTGATGCCTCTTTAATTTAAACAAAATTAAATCTACCATTTTTTTATTTTTTATTTACAAAAAGAAATAATATAAAAATAATACATAAAATTGAAAAAGCGAGTGTACATTTTGATAAAAAAATAAAATAAAATAAAAATAAATTGGGTTTATAACAATAGACATAAAGTAGGATATGCGTATATAACTTTACCGCAGTGAAGTATAGGATGTCTTCTCTATCTTTTACTTTTCCGATGTTGATTGTTGATATTGGATTTTGTGGATACTACTCACTCTACTTAATCCACCATTCGTTTCTCTCTTTGAAAAGCTCAACCTTAGCCACTTACCATCACCTCAACCAGCCTTTCCTTTTCCATATTCCAGTCACAAAAGTCCATATATGCAATGCCAAGTTCAGGGCTCCACAATTTTTTTAGGCCTCGAAAATCTCCACATTATTAGAGTATCACAATCTTGGGTATCTGATTATGTTCCAAAAACTTTAGATGTTGCTTTTGGTAAACAATTTCTGCATATATATAGAAGCACATCATGTGATGGGGGATCATGCACGATAAGAGCAACTTTATACAAGCAAGAAGGAACCATATGCAATAAGGCAAAGGGATGAACCCAAAATTGAATAAATAATGTTATCTAGTTTGACTCAGTCAGTGTCACTGATCATGAATATGATGTTTGGTTATTAATGTTTTGAGGAGAGAACAAATACCATTTCTCAACTAAATGACTTATTAATTTACTGGATTGGTTCTGTTAATTCTAATCTGATAATCTAATATAGTGGAATCAGAATGACATGAACTTCTAAAACTAAATGATTATAATTAGATATTAATTAGTTGGAATTCATAAGCACATACGTCTAATGGGTCATGGTAGTAGCAATAATGGAAACATTAATCCATCGGCTTGGTTATGTCAGTACTAATCTCATCACCTAAAGTAGTGAGATTAGAATTGACATAACATTTAAAAACTAAGTGATCACAAGATATTAGTTGGAATTCATATCAAGTTACGTGTAAATGGGTCATGGCTAGTGGCACTTACGGAAATTTGAGAGAAAAGGCTAAACTTTAAGAAAAGAGATTGGATTTGTTCTCCGATCCAGCACATCATAGTGCCCTCTATTTCTGTGTTGCTTTGCTTTTGTTCCCATGCATATGTCAAAGTGTAATTGGGAGGTATCATGGACCACTTTCATTTTGGACACCAAAAAGATATTTGGATTACTTTCCTCAGAAATAGGATCTTCCCACCAATAATATTAGCAATAAAATATTGTTAGATAAAAAGTTTTCCAAAAAAAAGTAAAAGAAGAAGAAGAAGAAAAATAAATCAAATTAATAGGATAATTGACAAACCGATTGAGAAAAATAAATTGTTTCCTGTGTGAAACGAAAGCTATTTTAAACAGCGAAAACGGCGCCGTGGCACATGCTGAAATGTCGTAGTGATATATATAAATGATCTGCAATAACTTCAATATGATGTCGTGTTAGGTGAAAATCATGGTATTTTTGTAATTTTAATTTATTTCACGATTATTATAGTCTTTATAATTATAATTTTTTAATCTTTCAATCCCAAAACAGCATCATTTTGAAAGTAAATGCTGATAAATTATCTGTATGCAAAAATATTTTTCTGTATTATTTATTATGTTAACACAAATTATATCATGCAACACATAAAAGACCTATTAAGGAAAAGAAAGAGAAAGAAAATAAATGAGTTTTGTGTACTTTTTTATATATTGCATGAGACAAATTATCTTATGTAATATGAGAAATAATATTCCTATAAACTTTCTATAGAATTAATAGCTAACATATTTGCAAGACTTCTCTCTCTATCCGTGAAATTTTTAGTATTATATATATACAAGCTTTCTTGAAAAATTCATTTTCTAAATTAATACAAACCGAATTGATACCTGAAAAAGTCTTGATTTAGTTCCAATACCTATTGGTCAGTTAGAAACATTGAAAATCTGTTGAGAAATGCATTGAACAGCTTTTCTAGAAGTAACTTTTTTGTTTCTTTCACCACCGTCTGTGACTCGTGAGTCGTGATGTTCGTGTGTAGTTTGAACTTTGAAGCATGATCATAACCTCCAAAGCATGGAAACTACAAGAAATATGAATAACATGCCACACGGAAAATAAGACAGACTAATTTCAGAATTTATAATACACATGTTTAAGGTATTTTACTTGTATTAACATAAAAACGCAAAGCATAAAATTAAAACATAAATCTTAAAAAAAAATCAATCCTTGAAAAGTTAACTCTTTCCTTTTAATTATTTATTGTTTTTTTAATTTCTATATATATATATATATATATATATATATATATATATATATATATATATATAGAAAAATATTCTGTTTTTGTCGCACAAATTTTTTTTCTACCTCACTCACTTAGAAGCTATGATGCACGGACACTGACACGGGACGACACGACACGACATGTCGACACGTTAATTCTAAAAAATGTCATATTCGACACGTTGGGACACGTTTTGATATTAAATAAAATATTTAAAATATATAATATAATTTATATTTAATACATATAATAAGTCATATAACCAATCAGATATTTAAATTTCATAACATAAATACAAATATAAATAATTTTTCGTAATTTGTTAATTTTTCATGTCAAATTTTATAATAGAAAAAAATTAATTTATAAATTAATTTTTTATATTTAATTAATAAAATAAAATTAAGATTAAAAAAAATGTGTCCCAGCGTGTCCGAGTGTAGACCGCGTGTCCAAAAAAGTTGACTGCGTGTCGAGAAAACGTGTCGTAACGTGTCGGAGAGTTGACCGCGTGTCCCCAAATGTTGACCGCATGTCGAAGCGTGTCCGTGTCGAACACGTGTCTGTGTCGAACACGTGTCCGACATGCAAAATTTTAAAATTTTTCGTGTCCGTGCTTTAGTTCTTAGAAGTGAATGATGTAGAGAGATGAAGGAGAAATTATTAGTGAAACTCTCACTTTTATATGAGTGTGCCAGATAAATTTTTTTTGTAACAAAAATAAAAATATTAAACCATATATATATGTAATTAATTTTTTATTTATTTTATTTTATCCTTTCTTTACTTACATAATTTTTTTTCGTACTTTTTATTTGAATTCATCTATTACTCTAACTAATTTGGGATAAAAATATTGTTAATGTTTATATTAAATGCATGGAAAGTTAGCATTAATTAGCATATAAAGTTGTTTGATAGCGCTTACCAAAAAAAATTTGCAGTGATGGAAGCTGATATTTTTAGTTAACTTTCCGTGATATTTTTAGCTGTTTGAAAAGCTGATATAAAGTAAAAATGGGAGTTGCACTGATGGAAGCTGATATTTTTATCTATAGACAGGTGGCAAAGTGGATAGTCCATTTCGTCCTTCCAATTTGCCAAAATATTGGAAAATGATTTTTTTTTTCAAAAATTATACTCCAAACAAATATAAAAAGTATCAAATAAAAATAAAAGAAATATAAAAAATATACTTAAATCATATTTAAAAAAAAAAAATCAATCTGATAAGTCAACCTGC